TCCAACATTTTGGATTAAGACAGCAGACTTGTGTTGCTACTTTTGGAAAATTCGTTAAGCTGAAGCAAATTTCTCGCGGAACTGCAAAAATACTTCTGCAAACCAGGTTCGGTCCGCGGACCACGGGTTGGGAAAACACCGTACTATAGGCTATGCGAGTAAAGGAACGCATCTGAGACAAGTTCCATGTGTTCCAACTCCCCTGAAAGATCCCTGACCAACAACTGGAGCTGTTGTGAGAACAGGCATGGATGGCAGACGCAGAATCCGACAGACGCGCAGGGGCACAAGTTGGCTTGTCCATGCAAAGGAAAAAGCCTTGTTTACGGCCAGATGCGCTGCTGCGACGGAACGAACACGGCGAGGAAACGATCGTGAACTCGGACAGTCACGCGATTTCCCTGACGTGCTGACATTAGGTTCGTGACTGGGTGTCGGTGACGCGGAACGAGGGGACAAAATCCGGACTGGCGGTCGACGGCGCGAACGTGGGCTAATCTTTTAAACTGAATTATCAAAATCGTCCACCTTCTCGGTCCGTCGAGCGAAGACGTGCCTCCACAGATCGTGACACAACCATGGTACCGCTCTTGTAATTTCCCCTGTTATGCAGACCACGAAATCTCCTCGCATCTTCCCTCATGGAGATCTTTTACTCTCTAATTGACTGCAGTTAACTTATTTAGCGGCGGATAAGCGGTACTTATTCCTGGAAGATATTGTCCAGAAAAATGCGCGTGTGGTTGGTACTAGAAAAAGTCGAAAACTTTTGGAAAATCAAGATTTCGCATCGACACAGTCTAATTTTCCGACCACGGGAAATAAAGTCGACACTTCCAATCGGGGTTCGATCATCGATTTCTTTAAATTTATGGTATTCGCCACTGTCGTTGAAGTTTATCAAGAAAATCTGTAGGTTTCTCGTGGACTGCATTTTATCGAGGAATTTTAGTATCATTCCCCCCCCCCCCCCCCCCCCCCCCCCCCCCCCCCCCNTTTCCCCCCCCCCCCCCCCCCCCCTCCTCCCCGGGAAATCGCAGTTCAAAGCGAGTGTGCAGCCTACACTCGCACGTGGCCCTGTGAATACCATAATACCTGGAGTACAACTCCGTGACAAGTGCTCGCATGATACTGTATTTGTATGTGTGTGTGTTGGCAATTGCGAGAATTTCAGGGTTAAGTGCTGTTGAAAATGCCAAAGAGCTGGTATGAAGGAGAGCACGTAAGAAACTAACATGATCGATAAAAACGAGAATATTTTGGGGAGTTCTAAACAATAAGTGCGAAATTTCCGCCAAAGAAGGTTTAGGTAAGGAGAAAGAAGGAAAACGAAGTCTCACGTCAACCGAACAGCTAGTGCTGCCGACTGCCGAGAACATCGTCAAAAAAAGAAATAAATCTCCTCTTCAGATTAAATCGCGAGGTAATTTATTCAGTATTATTCGGAAAGACAATAGAGACACAATGATTATTCTCCAGAGTATGCCGCGATTTTTCTCCTTCCAATTTCTGAGTAACCAGAACCGTTGTCCTGAGGATGCGATTCGCTACTATTTTTCATACACTGACTGGCGCTGAAAATTCGTCCTTTGGAGTCTTGATGGTCGTTGTCATTGTTATACTGCATCTTCTTTCCAACAGTTACTGAGTTACACCTTCACAAAAACCCCACTATTGAATTTTGAAAGTTTTTTTTTTAATGTAAATGCTAATTTTTTTCGGATGCACCAGTGCGTGAATCATCCTGTTCTAACGTAAGCTATTGATTTGCTTAGATTGCAACCTGCACTGAAGCAGACAATGTCGCAATTTTGATCTGTTTTGTCAAGTTAGTAGAAAGGCGCTCGCGCAACGAAAATCGAACTTCATTTTACGTTCATGTGATGTATTCGGAATGGTAGACAGGAGATTCGCTTCGATTCCGTTGAGGAGCGAAGTTATCCTTGTTTCAAACTTTCAAGCGTCACCCTCGTGATTGGAAATGCGAATAGTAAGCGAGGAAAAAGGCTGCGTTCTTCATCGCGGTGAGTGCGGCAAGAAGATATCCGTGTGTACGACTTCAAGGATGGCCGCACGAACTACGGCAATCGGAACCGATTGTGTTTGCCGTGGAGCAACAAGTCTAACGACGGTTGAACGTCAGCGTTTGAGCCTCGTGGGAATCACATCGGGGCCAGGTCGCGACACCTCAGGTATTCGCATTGTTGCGCAGACACGCGAGAATATATTTTTTTTCCTACCAACGACCGAAACGCGGGGTCAATTTGTTTGCCGACGGGGTCAGGCAGTCGGACCCCGGGTCCGGAGATTGCCATCTGGGAACCCGAGCAGTCCCAGGTAGGGAAGCAGCGGGGGGATGCAGGGATCGAGTCAGGCCTTTGAAATATGAATCCCCGGAGAAATATAATTCCGCGGAACGATCAACTGCGGCCCGCTTTTATGGAGACAACCTTGAGTGGCGAACCCCAGCGGTTGTAACGCGGCACGTGACCGGAGCATTCAACAGTTAATGAACGCTATCCTTCCTTTGCTGCTCGTCGTTGCGAGACCTTTCATGGCATTCAGGAAATTTCTCCCTTCCCAGATTTCCCCCTTCGCCTCGTGTTCATTATTCCGTTCCTAGTTGCTCCCTTTTTCCCAGGCCTCAGTCCAATTTTTTACGCTGCGGGAAAATTGAAGCTCATCGTCGGCTACGCGTAATTCAATTCAGCGCGGCTTTTCGCGGCTGCACCAGCACAAAAAATTATGATTCTTCGTCGGAGAATTTCGCAAATGCAGGTTGCTGAATAGGTGATAAGGGGCGTGGGTCCTTGTTTGCCCGGGCCGTCAGTGCTGAAGATTCAATCGGCGACGAAATGATGATTCCGGCGGAGGAAATTATAGTAATGGTTTCGAGGCGTGGGGCCAGGGAATGAAAACATTGACCAAACTTGTCTTGCAATGACGGACAGGCGCGCGTCTGGTGACGACTTAATCGGTCCGACCCGCCTCGGGCAACAGTGTGGAAAAATTTGCGCGAAAAAAAAACCCGACGCCAAGAAATCGGCACGTGGCTCGCGAAAATTTCACCATCACTAGCCCGTGACGTGGCTGCGTGTCGACATGCGGCAGGAAATGTGCACACACAATCATAAGACTAGGGAACGAGAATAGTGGGCAGAAAATCCGACCCAGGGGGTTGTATCGAGAATCGATACCTTATTACTCCTCGCCGTCGAGGTCGTGTGCCAGTGACGCGATGCGAAATTTTCATTCTCCCTTCCGAGTTTTGATTGGAGTTGATTTCCTCCCCCTTTCGTGGGGCGTGAAACGGGCCACGTTGCGGGAAGTCTTTTCAAAACCTGATCACAATGCTCCCTGGGTCGCGGTTGAGCGCCGGCCCCACTCGACCTTCTCAGGTTGATTTATTTTCCCGCGGGTTGCATGCGGTGACAAAGCTGATTTTCGTTGAAAATTGCCCCACTGTTCCATGCGTGTGCCCAGCTTCGACGTTCACTACTTCCGTAAATTTATCACCAACACGAGTAATGCAGAGCGACGATGCTAGATGTTGATCCTACACTCGATCGCAATCTATCAAGTTTCGAAGCCTTGATTTTCAATGAATTTGTGGAAGGAAAAGCGTGAGCCCTCTAGCTTTATACACCGTTCACTTGTTTCCTATTCAACTTTTCGTGTTTATCCGACGGTTTGCAGAGGCTAAATTTCTATTTCCGAACAACATAAAAAAATTGGTTTTATTCCAAAGAGTCAGGTAAGGTAGACCTGTTATTTTTCTATAAGAAATGGACAAATGCTGTTAATGAGGGCATCAGATTTATTGGTTCTGTACGCAGATGAAAATGAGAAAATGCGTGAAATCGAATCGGAATGCAGGCTGAATTCTCGAGTTGACAAGTTTTATGGTTTTATGGGATAAAGTATCACATACAGATCACTTGCAAAACAAATAAAGCATTTCAGAGAATTTGGAAAATATGCATGCGTTTTGGCAGATCGTCTTGCTTCAAATCGAGGAAAGATATTTTCCTTAAATGAAAAAAAAAAATTTTCGGCGTTTTATTTAGAGAGGAGTGCAAAAATATAGGTAGGGTTCATCGAATGACCGGGTTATTAATTTTAATGGAAACACGGTAACTTCATTTATTCACATGAACGTCTGAGATTTTTACCAATGATTTCGACGCATAAAGTATAACAATTTAAAGTACAGTATAACACCGAATGTTTGGGCGTTTGACTGGATTCAGACATTCCGTTGAACGGGGAACGTTTTCAAGGATGACAATCGTAATGTAACAAATATTTTCATAAGTCTTTGTAGGAAATGGCTCCATTTAAAATTACGGGGTACACAGGCAGCTCTGCTTTCTCAGGATATGAAACGAAATAGTGGTACATTTACGTAACATTTAAAGCCTGCTGCTAGTTCTTGCGCATTGTAGCTTTGCTCGGAAGAGTTGCATTTCTCGCTTTTATCTGAGATTTTCAATTGCGTTTGATGAGGTTTCCAAAGTTCCTCAGGGGCTCTCGTGCTCGCAGTCCGCAACGACGCTGAAAGCTAGATTGCACTGACCCCTGGCTGCATGGTGCGGAGAGAGAAAGTGCAAAAAAAAAGAGAACTTCATTCGACGAAAGGCTGTACCCGGTGTTTTTGCAGTCGGCGAAATGTAGATTCGCGGGGCAATCAATGGCAGTGAGTGGGTGTGTTGTGAAGTCGGCGGATCTTGATCGATCCGGGCGCCACGGTGGCATCGCGAACGTGGGGGTCCTCGCGTGGCCGCAACGAGCAGAAAAATTACGGCCTGGCAATGATTGATGCTCAATTCTTGCCTCGATCGCGCCAGTGTCGAGGTCTGTAATGATCATATCGGAGACACAAACTACCGCGCGACGCATGCAACGTCGGCGTCGACACGAACGCCTCAACTTTTCTCCCCTCTCTCTCTCTCGCTGCTTGTTATTCATTTCGCCTTTTGTTCCGTCGCGTGTGTTGACAGGCTGTTCGGGACCAAGTGTTCCAAGTGCGGCACGAACTTCAAGAAACTGGAGTACGTGTTCCGAGCCAGAGACCGCGTTTATCACATGGACTGCTTCCGCTGCGTCGCGTGCGACAAGCAGCTCATGCCCGGCGACGAGTTCGCACTTCGGCCAGACGGCCTGTTCTGCAAAGCTGACCACGAGGTTGTGAAGCAAGAAGACCAAACCACTCCTTCCACGCCCACGATGCTCGGCGGCGACAGCAACAACAACACCGCTGCCAACCTCAACAACTCCAACAGCAACCACAGTCCGGCCAGCAACAACTCAAACACGAGTTCAAGTAAGTCTCCAAATCTTGCTCAACGCCGTGGGGTCCCCGCAGAGCGAACGATTATTGCAACAGAGCACTTTTTTTTTTTTTTTGCGCAGCGAAGTTTTTCTTTGATCGATGTGACTCATGTGGAAAACTAACGCAAATTTCTCGACAAAAAAAGCGAATGCATTTAAACAAGGTTTTAGCCAGCACAAATCAACTTGCTGTCATGTTCAATCTATCCGGCAAACTTTCTAGAAGGAAAGAGAAAAGTAAAATTGTTACCTTTCTAATTCTGTAGAATTTCGGGAGAGGAGAATCCTCAATCGGTGGGAGATTATGACACAATTTTTGCTTGGTAAAACTCATCGTTAAACGAAGCATTAAAGTTCCACTTGAATATGACCCATTACTTTTTGTTGCCAACTGTTTTTTTCAGAAAACTCACGGTGCGTTATTTATTCCATGACATTCTAAATCCCTCGTAAAGGGCATGCTTTATTCTTACCAACAGAAATTTATAAATACTTTTTTCTGCCCTTGAAATAAGAAGATATGTGTGCTCATTTCCTCCTCATGGGCTCTAAAGTTTGAAGCCGGTCTCTTTCGAAAGTTGTATTTCAACTATTAATTGAACCATGACCTTCTATTACGTCTCCTCTGGTTCTAAATAAATTGAATGCATGAATTGCGACATTTATCCGTAGTTAAAATTCCTGTTGACGCACGAAAAGTAGAGGCAACGTCTTATACAGTATAAACGACATTGCATTAAATTCAAGTAAACACTAAACCACATAATCTTGTTTCGTGAGATAAAATTGATTTAGAGCTCCGATCATCGGTACTCTGACTACCCGGGCCCGAATCTCGAATCAATTTGTAAAGCAAAAGTGGTTTATACACGTCTTTTTCTTCTTATTTTTTACACGAACCACTTTCCCCCGTCAGGAGTAACTAATTTTATTCAGTGTCGGTATTACTCTGTACCAAGCCATTCCTTAATTTTTAAACCTGTTCAATGAACGCTCATCAGGTATCCCGATTATCTGCGATATTCGATTAATCTGGCATAAGAGGCCGTGCCATGTTTACAGTTAATCTTAACTTGCTGCATGCTCAGTTTCAGCTGAAATAAATAATGCTGTAACGCCAGATTTCTCCAATTTCTCCCTTGAATCCCTCACTATGAGAAAAATCTCGTCGTAATGAGTCGAACGAAAGCTTTTCAAATGAAATTTCAAAAGGTATATGGTTGATAATATCAACGAAAGGGTGCTCAAGTTGCTTAATATAAGTGTAGTACAAGAAAGCAATAAAAAACCAGAATGGACTTACGCATAGGAACGGAATAAAATTAATGAAGATGGATTCATTTTTGTTGTTACTGTAAGTGTCCGACAGCGGTATTCATCAATCAGCGAAAATACCTGCAATTTCGTGGAAGCTTTTGACATTCACGAAAGTTTGTCCAGTAAACAAAGCGCATCGAACTGGTTTAGTGGGGGTTGTCGACGTAAACGTTAATTAGGTTTGCGCAAAGCAGGATTATTGCGAGTCCATTCTTTGCTCCGGGGTCAGCGATTGCCATCGAAATGTACACAATTCCACGGCTGAAGAATACAGGGACCCGAAAGGTCAGCTGTTGGGGTTACAATGAGTTGAATCACTGGCGGTGGACGACGGGCTCGGATAGCGAATTGTAGCGAATGGGATTCCTGGCGATAGGAACTTTCCCGGGAGGGGCTCGACCCGAGGTATTCAAACTAGGCGGATAACATATACTGCACCTCCCTCTACAACGATAATGTACACGGGGGACCGAAAAATAATTATTTATAAAGCGGACTTGATTGTAATGAAGCCGCTTCTACATTATTACCAGAAAATAATCGCTGCATCGAGAATATTGCTGCTGTGGACAAACTTGTTTTCGAGATAAATACAAAGTAGAGAGAGAACGCTATACTGTATGAAGAAATATTTTCGAATGAGTGAGATTCAATGAAATTTCCATCAAGAATGGGCATGCCATAATGTGCGTTCCTTTTCAGGAGTCGCTCCTCGTCCTTTGATGAATTATTGTTTTCAAGCCTGAATCAACTTTTCATGATCATATCGACTGACTTTTCGGGTCTAAACAATCTTTGAAGGGATGCTCAGTTTTCTTTCAGAAATAGAATTTTCTGCAAGCCGCTGTAAACGAAAAAAAGCTTCCGGGTGACGATGCGGCTTACTGAATTCTTTCGGTTGTAATTTTATCTGAATTTATAAATCCGAAGGACGGTCGGAAAAGATTTTGAAGAATTGGTTTTTTGATTGCTCGAATATTGGAATTTACTTGTGGAATATATTTACAGCAATGCTGTAGGACTAACAATGCTTCGTATTTAAAATTCCGTACTGAAGCTGTTCACACATTGGAATGCCTGCCGGGACCGAAATCCTCGCATGGAAAATACCGATGTAGACGGAATAAAATCATTGTGCAGTACTGTACAATGTAATCCGATAGAGGTAGAGTTTACCTGTACACAAGTTTGAAGAACCGCGTGTGCAGACGTCGGAAGTTTGGAAGCCTCGCGGCCAGGGTTGTTGCTTTTTTTCCCACTCTCTGCTTCTATACATGTGGCCGGAGATGGAGTCTGGCCAGGCCTTTGTTTCTGTGTATCATCGACCCCCCCGAAACGATCTTGGCGGCGTCAGTGTTTTCGTATACAATCCGGCTCGCGTTTCGCCATGTGACGCAATCCAAGCTACTCTCGCTGATAGACGCTCTGCCTGCTGACGAGTTCCAGTTCCCGCTCAGAATCCGCCCCCCGTTCGTCACTCCAATCGAATTTTCCCGGCCATGCTGGAGCTGGTCTCGCTAGCTCCATAAAGGTTACCAAAAAAACTTGCCGTCAACTCAGAATTTCTTGTCCTGCTCGCGACTTTCTTTCCAGGCCGTCCCGAGTAATGGTTCCTTCGACGGAGATCCTTATGTACTTGAATGTAAAATGCCATCGATTCTAAGACACATCCTTTTCTTTCGTTTTGAAATCGTGAATACAACTCTGCTTGCGGATCAAACACGCAGTTATTCTATTCTCTGAATCAGAGGAGTCCTTATGTAGCTCACTTTGAACCGCATCTGTGCAATCAAATAAAAAACTCCAGTTTCTGAGCCTCTGAATTCTCTGAACTTCTTCAATAACGATTATCTTTACGCGTAAATGACGAATAAAACGTTTACAATTTTGTGACTGGCGGCCCTCGCCATTCGATTTCTTTGTTTCCTTCATGATGGCATCTCTGCCGCAAGCTTCATTTTTCTCCATTTTCATTGCTGCCATGAAATGATTAAATATTTTACAGAGGCTTTGTTCACTATATAATTCATTACTTTCTTATACAAGTATGACGCACATTTTTGACAAAAGTTTGGCGTATGCTATTTTCCGTGGCTTCGTGTTTTATACAGTAATTCCTTTTACGCTATAGGGTATCTCAGATTCTCAAGCAAAGTGAGTCAAATTTCTTCCGACCAATAAAGTTCCTTGAATATAATTAGGACTGGAATTCAGTTGCTTGAATCTTTACCTCAATCCGCTGTTCTACTGCTGAAGATTAAAAATCATGATTAATATTTGAAGTTTTCAAAAAGAATGAGCTGGTTACTGCAAAAGGACTAAAATCAACGGACTCCTCTGCTGATCCTGCAAAAATTTGGTGCTATGAAAGCTCATCTGATGTTTGCAGGCCATTTTGTTTGAGGTACAAAATATGGGCACCCATCCATAACCAATCCAATGATATCCAACGCTTGGGGAAATGCGCTTGAAAAAAGGTGAAGAATTTGGCCGGCCGACCAACCGTTCGAATTGGTTGGAACTCGGAAGGAATCACTTCACGCGCTGAATTAGAGTTCGTCACTGCAAGTCTTGACTTTTTTTTAAAATCCATTTCTGAGGAAATGTACTGAACTTTTGACGTTGGATCGTCTGCGGTAGTTGATGAGTCCATGGAGGCTGAGGGAGCAGCAATGAATTCACGTCTCCAGTTTCTTCTTAATCGACGCTGGCGTTTCGCGCGTCGCTGTTTGTCTTCTTCTCCGCGGGCCACCAGGCCTCCTGCCGTTTGACTGCATTTTCCTTCGGGTTTCGATCCTCGTGCTCCGACCGCTGCGCGAACAGTTTACTGCCCTGCCATAAAGCGGCGGGCGCCGAGGCTTTCAAGCCACTCCATTCCCGGGGTCTCTTATGGAACACCAGGTGCCAAACCGGGAAATCATAACATTTGCTGAAGAGCCCCGCGGAGATTTATGGACCCTTTTTATTCGTGACACGCGCGGAAGCTCCTCGGCATTCCGCTTTCGAGTACGGCACGTTCTTCACACAGATTTCCGTTCCGGGCACTCAATTTTACCCCGTGTATTCATTTCCCAGCTGCCTTACATCTCCTGTCTAATCGAACAATTCAATGGTGCAGGCATCTAAGCGCTTCAGGTCTGTTCCTCGACATCATAAACTTGATTTCAGACCTGGTCGGAAGGATTCCTCTCGAGAGAAACTACGGCCATTCGACATGGCGGCCATAATAGTCATAAAATCGTATACAGTATTCTTGCCAGAGGTTATTTCTTACATTCAAAGCTTTGCGATGCAGTAAAGTGTCTAATTTCACGGTTGATGCTTCAATAATCGCAAGAGATTAGGAGAGAGTGTTTGTATCTAACCTTTGAATTTGAATAAATTTGAGAAATTTCAATATTTTAATCAAGCAGAATCAAATTCATCGGTACTTTTTGCTGAAGGCTTCACCTCGCGGTTAACCATCAACACTTCTATTGTAGCTTGAAAAGAAGCCTCGACCGTGGCGCTCCGAACTTCGGAACGGAAAACCTCTGAATTTAGTGTTAAACTGTTCGCAAATTATTGATAAATACTGTATTCGCAATATTTTTTAGAAAGCAAATCGAATTATTTTTAGTATACGTGCGTAACAATGGCTTGGCTGTCCAGCGTGACATTGTTTGATTGACGTCT